TTACACTCCCGCACCCCAGGTCCATCCAAATGCCATTTCTTGCAGGAAGCCCTGCACAGTTACCCAAATGTGATCACCCCCTGTCCAAATCTCTCAGTGTCCCTCAATTAACATAGCAAATGAACACATTCTTCCTTGCTTTGTAGGCACCTATAGATAAGCATTGTTTTCGTACTTCTATCAAAACTTCCTTTACTTTTTTTGTAATTTCCTGTGAATATGTAATTATTTCAAAATAAAAAGTTATGTTAAAAACATACCCAATGAAACATTGAATTGAAAAGAAAAATCCCTGAGAGTATTTATTCAGTTTTTTACACCCTTCCCCTAAGGATCTACTACTATCCCTAAGTAGTAGACCTTTGGTGAGGGACAGTGGAGTGAATGTCCATGCATAAATATAGAAGCAGTGCCTGTAGGGTGGAGAATGGGATTTACACCCTGGGTTTGGGTCTTTTCTTTTCTTCCTACTTGGGAAAATATGAGGCGAATCATTTAGTATTTCTAAGCCTCAATTTTTCATCTGTCAACAGGGAATAATAAGTTACTTCACTGGGTTATTGTGAGAATTAAATGAGATAATGAATGTGCTAGTATTTCATTAAGTGTCAGCACTATGCCAGTTTAGTTATTATTAAGATCTGTGTAAAGCAATTCTACACATCACCTTTGGAGTTGCTCTTGGCGCCAGTAAGTTGTAGGTGGTGTAATTCTAAGGCAGCCCTGGTTTGACACCTCTTTCTGTCTCCTTGTCATTCTTTATGACATCCTATAAGCACTCTTTCTCTTTCCATTCCTCCCAACATTTCCCGGAATGACCTACTCTATCCTTTCTGATAAGAGTTAAAAATAGTTCAAACAGAAAAATGAAGCACCTTCATAAAGTTGTGTTCCAGGAAGTTTAAAACATGAATTTATGTTAATAGTCAAAACATGTTCAATTTGGTATATTTTCTGAACATTGTTGTCCTTGTACAAAATGCTTGTAGGAATTCTCTGGTTTATGAATGCCACCACATAAATATTTCATTTTCAACAAGGGTTCTGGAACATACTGTGACAAATTCAGACATGGTCTAGAAGGTGCTGGAGGAGGCCATTGGAGATCCCTTAGGAGGGGACAGCGAGGAATTTTGTGGGGTGAAGCTTCTCAAGCCAAGAGAATGAGTTCAAAGGACTCCAGCAGCCCTAGTACATCACTCTGTGTCTTATTTAGACAGTTCTCTAGCTGAGGCTCCATATTGATAGTGAAAACGTTAAACTCATTGAATTACTGAAGACAAATGCTATTAAGTGTAAGCCAGGGATGCTTTGTAAACCCACTGGTAGAAACTAACGGAGGTGGTTTTGTATCCTTTCCTCTCTGGTTCAGACTACTGGAAGCCAAAGATTTGAGATTTTGCTGCACACCTGAAGGAGCTTATGGTCACCCTGGTGTAACCTAGGACCCATGTGGCCAGTGTTAGAAGAAAAAGTGGACTGTAAGGGCAAAGGAGTTGACCTGGTCCCATGGGGTGTATACGGCCAGAGTTGAGACCAGGCAGACTGCTTATGGTGGCTCAGGGAACTGCATTCTAGAGTATGCTGGAGACCTACCCTCAAGACACCCTGACTCAGGGAAAGAGCAGAGTTACCACTACTCTGCCAGACAAACACTGTTAGGTTTCAATTAGTGTAGCCCTCTCCAATCCTCTTCTAGACCATGACCTGGGGTGGCATGGGTTATTTCTACATAATTAATCATACAGATCAACTCTATACTGATCAGCTCTGTGATCTGCATTTGCCCATGCCACTCACCTTTGCCACCAGGATCACCGTGAATGCATGCATCTCACAGCACTCCCTCCTCCTTAGCTCCAGCCTCAGCTTTTCAGGAAAGAACAGGAAAGGAGGGGGAAAGAGCCCAAGAGAAAGTATCCTTCTGTCACTTTTCCCCTGGAACCAAAGTCGTTCATGATGTGCAGTTTCCAGACAACTAGAGATTCTTTTTACCTGAGCTGTGCTGGGGCTAAGGGGTTTTATTACAATCTAACTTTTTTTTTATGTCATTCTCATGGGACTACGCAGTTGCTTCTAATCAACCAATTTATTCAGCAATATCTTTTAGACTGAGAGGAATCTATGGAGAAGAACTTGAGTAACTTACTTTATACTCCATAAGCAGGGCACAATTTGAGTTGATTGAATTAAGTTGTATAATTCAGGGATCATCTATTTAGCTAGTAGAGCCTTGACTTCAAAAGTAGTCTTTCTTTAATTGAAAAGATATGTTCCTATAATGTACATGGCTTATGCCACTAAATTCAGTCATATATTGTCTATCATTCATTGATATAACCAGATGAGGATAATTAACATGAATTTCCTTAATTTGGGTAAGTGTACACTTGGTGGCATTTTTCTTCTATCTCCACTGAGCTCAATAGTTAGATATGATTTCTTTTGTGCTAAAAATAACAAAGATAGTATTTGGAAGAAATCAGAATGGATGGGCTGATAAATTATTTATAGGAATTTCGAGCAGCCTGCCAATCTGTTTTGTAATGTAGTGGAATCTTAATTTTTAATGAAGGAACCTATGAAAATCTGCTGGGGTGAAAACCATGACCTCTAAATGATACCATAGGAGGCCCTCCCTGTTGGGGCTGCACCTTTTCCCATCACCTCCCTAGGGCTTCACCTCCAGCTGACCTTCCCTGGGCCAAGCGGAGGGGAGTTGGTTGGTACAAAGCCTGACTAAGACAGGAAAGGTGGGGTGAGAGAGAACCCCGCTCTGAAAGGGGACAAAACAAACCACCTTGGGGGACTATTGTGCGCTGGTTCAAAAGTCTCTTTTGACTAATGCACTGCGCTATTCAACTTTACATCCTTAATCTGTTGTGTCTGTTTTTAATTAAAAAAAAATAATTAGGGGAAATTAAGGACAATGAGAGAGTATTAGGAATACAAATAGACGAGAGATGAATCAGTCCTACAGAGGGAAAGAGATCAAAGTTACAAGGGTACATGTAGATGTGAATTTGGTCAATTTCATTTTTATCCCTCATGCTTCAGAAAAATACACTAGACTTGAAATGGTCTTGTGTGGTAACTAAATTCCCCAAATAGTGAAGGGACCTTTGGTGTTCAGAGAAATCCAACAGACCTGTTCATTATATTTCATCCGGGCTCCCTCTTTGTTTTCTCATCAGTAAAAAACAAGTCATATTTTTTTTGGAATTTTTTTATTGACTCTGTTACATCTCTTGAAAAAAAAAATAGTTTTCTCCAACCCTTTTTTGGAAGGAATTTTAATGGTTTTAAATCAAATATGTTTATAATGATTGAGGGCTTTTTTCTTCCTGTCATATAAGTTATTCATGCAGTACTTACACAGCTAATGTCTTATCATCTCTAACAGGATTGAAAGAATCTTTAATGCAGGTATTTTATGCTTCTGTTTTGAGTTGTTGAATATTAGAACTTATACAATTTTGGAAATCATTTGCTCTAAACTCCCCATTGAGCAGTTGAAGAAAATAAGGCTCAGAAATGTGAAATGGCTTGTTCAAGTTCTTACAACCCCTAATGAAAAAGCTCACACAATAATTCATGTTCTTTGAATCCCAAACTTTCCTTTCCACTACACTCTCTGTTCAATACCCTGCAACCCCTACCAGAGACCTACACACAAGCTCTGAGCCATAAGAAATGTCCCTGAACAAATGTTTCTCTGAAACCCGTGTTCTTCATATGGACTATCTCTACCATTTGAATCACTGGTGTCTTTCTTCAACAAACATTAGGAAAGCACTAGATGGAATAGAATAATACTGTCTTTGACAATGGGGATCTCCCAATTTAAAATAGCAGAATGCAGTGAAAGAGTGATAATACATTTAAGGAAAAGAGGGCAAACCAGCTGGCTACGGAGCAGAAGGGCTGACCTGCATTAATACCACTCGGAGGGGAGTGAGAGTCTTCCTTTATGAATGGGGAGAAAAGGAGTTGTGATCTGTTTGTGCAAAATACCAAATCATTTTAGCTAGACAAAACAGAGTTTAACTTAGCAGACAGGAACGCTATGAATCACTGGGGTGGTGGAGGTGAAACTCCGTTTGATACCCATAATTAGAAAATGGTGAACAGAGATTTTGCTTGTGCAAAATAAACTTTCTGTAGTGTTGCAACCTGTTATAGAGAGAGAGGTAGAGGTGGCTTGAAAATTCTTAATGGTTTAAGTTCCCACAGCTTTTTTAAAAAGCTTTATGGATTGAAATATGAATCGATCATCCTGTCTCTGCTTCTAAACGTGCTATACTTACTGGATAATGAACGTGTCTAAGAAATTGCTAGTTATGTGGATAATATTATAAATTGGACATTCATTAAATGCAAACTTATTTTGAGAAGTCATGGCAGCCCCATGGGCTCTCTATTTTGCTATCCACTGAGTGAAAAATATAGTGAATGAATAAAAAATATAGTGAATGGCCCTACTTTCTAAGGAGTAAAACAGGGTAAAAACTTGATTACTTCAGCACATCTAAAATCATTTTTTGTACTTTAATTGTGATTTTGAAACATATAGTAAAATAAGACAAAGTTGGATAATTAACACCCAGAAACCCAGCCACTCAGATTTAACATTTTTAAACATTTGCCACATTTGATTTATATTCATTTTTTTTCCTTCTGAAGTTTTTAAAAGTGAATTGCAGACATCATGGTATTTCATTTCTGAACATGCTTAATGCTAAGTGTTTTATAAGAATACTTTCTATCTAACAACCCAATATCACAGCTAATATAATTAACACATATTTCCTAATATTGCCCTAAACCTAATTCATACTCAATTTGGCCAATACGTATTTTATAACTGGGTTTGTTGAAACCAAGATTCAATTAAGGCCGAATGTTACATTTCTCTGTTATGACTCTTATTTTTTTTGCAATTCAAACCAACACCATCCTTCTCTCCTACCCCACATCTTTTCTTCACATGACATGCTCACCCGTAGAGAAGAAGCAGGTCAGTGGTTCTGTATAATGCCACCTTGATTCATAGTGGTGATTTAACTTTTTCTTCTATTCCTCTGTTTCCTGTAAACTGGAAGATGGTCCTATTGGTCAGATTAACAGTATTTCAGAGAAGATCCAATGACTCCAATTATTATATGTACCTGTGAAAAAGGAGAGCACATGGCCATAAAATGTCCTGTTACAAGAACTTGATAATAGTTTTATTTATTTTTTTTTTATTGAGAGAGTGAGAGAGAGAGAGGGGGACAGAGAGAGAGAATTTTAACATTTATTTATTTTTTCTTAGTTCTCGGCGGACACAACATCTTTGTTGGTATGTGGTGCTGCTGAGGATCGAACCCGGGCCGCACGCATGCTAGGCGAGCGCACTACCGCTTGAGCCACATCCCCAGCCCTTGATAATAGTTTTAATACACTCACTCCAAATGTACAATCATTCCAAACTGGAAACACCCCCAAATATCTATCAACAAGACAATGGATAAAACAAAATATAAAATATTCATGCAATGGTATGCTACTTCACATTAAAAAGAAACTAAATGTGATAAACATATCATTAGGAATAAATCTTTGAAGTATTATACGGAAAGAAGTCATTCCCCCCCAAAATGTATGTGACATAAGATCTCATTTGTTGGAAGTTTGAGAACCTGAAAATTAATTTATGATGTCAGAAATCAGAAACACACATGAATGACTTGGGCCTTGACTGTGGAGGGTCATAAGGGAACTTTCTGGGGTGATGGAAAAGTTCTATGTCTTGATTTGGGATGACAACACGGGTACACAGACTTTGAAAAAATATTTGAACTGCTTTTATTATTTGTAAGCAATACTTTGATGAATGGATGAAGCTATATACTTCATATTACATTTCTCAGGAGGCTCAGAGTATTGAATTATCCCACTATTAACATCAGTAAAATAGATTATTGGGAAAACACAAAAGTTGTAAATTTATATCTTTTGATTCTAAGAAAAAGATTTTCTGGGTTAGAGCACAGTGAGAATTCTATGATCATAGACACCCTTTGAAAACAGTCGAATTTTTTTTTTTTTGATTCATAATTAAACCTAGCTCTCTGAAAAATGCCAAGTTTGTTTTTCTCTTTTGCGAGAAAGAGGGGCAATATGGTGGGGATTCCTGAATAGAAAAGAAAATGCCATGAGAGAGGTGCTGATCAAAATGATGAGAAACTCAGGAAAAAATGGGAAAGGTCAGGGGGACCCTCCCACCCCAAATTATAAAATGCATTCTGCCCCGTGGGGGGAGGCTGAGGTTCTCCTTGATTTTGGGATACACAACAAGAAGTGCCTTTCTGGCTAGGCCCTGACAGGGAGCTTTTTCAGTGAGGCCCCTCTGCAGCCTCCAGCCTGACTCTGGGTGGGGAACCGAACCTGAGGAAGGGCATTGAAGACCTGGCAGCAAGGGCAAGTTCTAGCAGATGGCCAACACTCAAGACTCCTCAGGATCCTACCTCTCTGCTGGATGTGTGAATCTGGAGGCTCACTAAAACGTTTTGTTTTCATAATTCCCAGAGGGATTACTGCTTCATTAATGGTGGTTTAATCATACCATGGAATGAAACAACATCCACACAGAAAGAAATGCGGGCATCATCTAAAGGGCTGAGGCTTCTAAACCTGACTTATTTATAATGGTGGGTCTTACTTTGAGAAAGTTTGAATTGCAAAATCCTAGACTTGAAAACCTGTCTTCCCATGGTTGGTTGGGATGAGCTGGTGGGAGGCAAGGTCACATTCGGGTTGCTGAAGGTAATTTTACTTAATAAAAATGGTTTCCCACAGGCTTCCTGAAATCACCCTCTGCCCAGAGGCTACCAGGCCTTTCGTTCCCTCCCAGCCCCAGTCAGCAAAGCATAGGCCCTACACCACCGAGGCACGTGCACTTTTCCAACAACTGGTTGGGATTTATGTTCTCTTTGTGACATGCACTACTTTAGGAAGACTTCTTATTAAGTATTCCAGTGTCTTAAAGCTATAATCTTCCAAAAGCTCTCCTTACAGAAAGATAAGGAAGAGTGATTATTAAAACATTTATTGAATGAAAACATGCTCTACCCAAATGTTAAACTATAAATCAAATTAAAAGGATATTGTCTCACTGCAAACTAAATTATTAAAATATGATAATTCTCTGTAGCTTCATATGATTTGAATCATTGAATCTACTTGTTTACTCACTATACTCTGACTCTACCCAAAATATTTTCAAAGATGCTGAAAAAAATACATGCAATTCCAGAGAAAAAAATAAAGAGATGGGCAAGTCGAGATAGAACAAAGACATGGACATGAAAACCAAACCAGAGCAAGGCAAACACATGCCACATTGTCCTGTACCTGTAAGAGATGAGAGGCAGGAAAAAATTTAACCCCAGCTTACTGATCACAAAGAATAAAAAGAAAGGCAAAAACCAATACATAAACATATCAAAATGCCCAGGGTAAAATAACCAAATGTTGCATAAGAGATAGTCACTTAGTGGGTCTTTATAAAGAAGACAAGGTACAATGGAAAAGATGTTTTCTCCCTCTTCCTAATGAGTTTCATTTAACCACTTCTGATATCCCTTGGCATGTAGCTAAGACCATATTTGGATTTGGTAAAGGCAACAAAGAACTCCTATATCCCCAAACCAAGTGTGGCCCAAGCAAGTGTCCTCTGTGATGACTTGATTTGGTGAAATAGATTAGTAGCCACTTTATAAAGCTATTCCCAAATTTTTCCTTGGATATACTTGTACATTTGTTAAGAGATGGAGAGTGGAGAGTTTAAGGTTATATTCTCTGGCAAGGAATAAAATAATAGCTTAATAGCTCATCTTTTATTGAGCACTTTCTATGTGCCAGCTAGTCTAAGCAATTGACCTGTGTTATCTTATTGAATCCTCATGGCAACCCCAGGAAGCTGTCACTTTCTTTGCTACTGATGAGAGTAGATGAAGATGTATGGGAAGTTCAAGATCGATTTGTTGTTAGGTATTAAGGAATAAAGTCTAGGTAGTCCGACACCACTGTGTTGAACTGACTTCAGGAATGTGTCTCTGGTCAGTTGTTGGTGTACAGCAGAGCCTAGAGTTGGAAAGGTTTGACTTACATCTCATCAAACTACAGAGTTGGACCAGGATCAGTGTCTGAATACACCTATCCTACTTCTACCAAAATGATTTTGCCATTTTTTTTAAAAAAATTAATTGTTCAGCTGATACGTAAAAACATAAAAAAGTGTACATAATTATGGGGTTGCTATGTGATGTTTTGATACAGATGAACATTATGTAATGTTACAAGTCAAGGAAGATGTATGTAACTCAAACATAATTCATTTCTTTATGATTTTTTTTACATCCATGGGCCATTATTTATTTATTTATTTATTTTGTTTTTTAAATTTTTTTTGTTTTGCATTACAATTCTTAATATCTTTATGATTAAAAACATTAAAATCCTTTCTTCTGGCTTTAAAAAAAACCATACAGTACATAATCGCTTTCCATAGTCATCCTACTATACATCAGCACACAGGAACTTCTTGCTCCTATCTAACTGTAATTCAGTACCCATTGGTCAATGTTTCCCCATTCCTGTTCTTTATGCGCCCCCCCCCCAACAACCCAGTCCCATCTGGAAGCCTCCATTCTACCCTCGACTTTTATGAGATCTTTTTGATTCCTCATAGAGTGAGATCATGCAGTACTCATCTTTCTGTGCCTGGTTTATTTCATGTAGCATAATGACTTTCAGTTCCATCCATGTTGTCACAAATGACAGGAGTTTGGTTTTCTTTTATGACTGAATAGTCAACAACAGTGCATATGTACTGCAATTTCTATAGCCATTCATCAGCTGACGGACACTTAGTTTGTTTCCACTTCTTGGCTTTTGTGAATGTGTCTGTTTATTAACAGCCTCAAAAATGTCTAGTAGAAAAGGTTCAGAACAATATACACAAGGAAAAGATAGCTACCCACCTTGTACAGGATACCTTTCTAGAGTGTAGGAAAATTCATTCTTTCCCAATCAGAGAAGTCACCCCCAGTTCCATCATCTAGTTTTAGAGTATGTTAGGTCATCCTAAAAATGCAATTAGTAGCTTGCTAAAGTGAACTGACCTTAACAGGTGTTTCCATTTACCTTTAGAACATGGAAAAGTCTTCAAGTCCTAAACCAATGTTTCTCAAATGAAGTCTCTGGACCAGTAGCATCAATATCAGCCGAGAATTGGTTAGAGACTTAAATTCAGGGACCTTGCTTCAGACTTACTGTTTTGGAAATTCAGGAGCAGAGACCCAGCAATCTCAGTTTCAACATGTCCCTAGGTGATACCACTGTGCCCTGAAGTTTCAGAAGTTCTTCTACAAATCATTGTGGCATCAAGAGCTGCAGTAGGACATAGCTATCGCATTTCAAGAAGTAACCATGTGTTGGATTGGAAAGGCTTTGGCAATGTACTCTGTGTTGGGACCAAATTTCCTTCAATGTGAAAACTGAAGCTCAGGGAAGTAGAGCAATTTGCCTGAGATCACAAAGCAAGTTAATGGACAAAATGGGCTTGAACCTGCTTTTTCCCAGCTCCTGGTCTGTGGATTATTTACTTTGGCCTCTGAAAGTTGTTCTTCTTCAGGGGCAATGTTCCTCTCAATCTTTTCTGTAGTGTCTTCCCAGGAGACAGCTTACCTGGGTGATGGTTCAGTCATTAGCTGGAGTCTTTCTCCTCTTCACATTGCATCCACCTCACAAGGGAAGTGAGCAAGCAGGTTCTGTGGCAGGGGAGTTCAGACCTTCATGGAATCCTGTTCTGTAAAAATGGAAACTGCACCAAGCCAGTGATTACTCCTCAGAAATATTAACATGTGATTTTTGAGGGCTTGTAGAATGGCTCACATTCTATTCTCTGAAAAACTGTAGAATAACTCAAATCATTAGTTACAAGGATCATCAGAGAATGCCAAAATCCCAAATGTTATCTTTTCGGATTTCTAGCTTTCTAAGTTTTTCCAAAATTTCAAGCACATATGAACCCAAGGAGACAAGTTACTTAACATTCCTGTGCTTCAGTTTCCTTGCCTAAAATAACAGGTCCCTTAAAAAAACATTATGCAAATTAAGTAAAATGATATCTGTAAAGCCCGGTGCTTCACATAAAATAGATGCCTAATAACGCTTAGTTCATTCTCTCTCCATCTTTCCTGGTCTTGTTGGTGTTCATATCTGATTAGGTGAAGGAAGATACAATGGAATTGTTAATGACTTTTTGAAAGCTAAGAGGAAAAGCTCATTGTCCTATAAGAAGTGGCTAGCTGACATCTCTGATTTTTTCTGGTGGTTGTCCTATGTGCTATGTTTTGAGTTCTTTGGACTCAGACTGACTAAGCTTTCCTTCATTGCTTTCCCTCATGGGACAGGTGATATGAAAGGACAGGTCCTCTACCTCAAAGCTTTCCTAATTGACTTCAGGGGAATGGACATCAAGGAACTAGTTCTTGTTATGTGCTTGGGCGTAGATCAATAATTTTTAGGTCAGTACCTCAAGTACATATTGATTTGTGTGTGCGTGTACACGCATGTGTGTGTTAGTAACTGGGGATTGAACCTAGGGGCACTTTACCACTATATCCTTAGCTTTTATTTTGAGGCAGGGTCTCACTAAGTTTCAAACCATGGTTCCACCACTAAACTGTTATATGAATTTGGAAAAGCGACTCAGTTTCTCTAAACCTCAATTTTCTAACTCATAAAACAGAGATATGATATCTACATCAGAGAGTTAAGAGGGAGGATTACGTGAGACAATATTTGGAAGGTTGGCCTCGAACTTGCAATCCTCTTACCTCCTGAGTAGCTGGGATTACAGGTGCATGCCACTGCACTTGGGACTTGCATGAATACATATTGAATATAAGAAAGTTTATCACCTGATTTTCACTGGTAATGAGTGATGAGCACCAGGAAAATAGAGGATAAAAATAATCCCTTGAGATTTCTTATGTTGGTCAAATTCTACAAAGTTTGAAAGTGAGTTTCAAATTTCTTTTAAAAGAAGACATATTTTCAAATGTAGAAATTGGGCTTTATGTTCCTTTGAAGTGTCGGGCTTACCTTTCCTGAAAGACTCCTCACCTAACACTCCCCTCACTCTCTGACACTTTCTTTTACTGGTCATAGACACCATGTTGTTATAAAGTGACATTACATAGGGTGACTTTATATCCACCAATGCAGGCTGTCTGACCTGCAAACCCAATTGTTCAGCCATCATCACTATTAACATTCGCCGTTTCAAACCACAGAATCAGGGAATACACTCTGCCTCCCCACTGGGTGTCCTGGAATGCTTTTGTAGAATCCAGTCCTTATTCCAACTGCCTTGTCAGAGTTCATGAAGGCTGCTGTTTTCTTAGATTTACTTTGTTACATGTGTGTGTTTTAAGAAAAGTACCTTAAAAACCTTTCAAAGTTCTTCCTCTTGACTAGGCACCAATTTGGTTATTTAAAAGTTGGCACTCCCTTTCCAAACCCTAGGTCAAACTCTCCAAGTTAGCTTTGTCACTTTGCTATGGAAATACATTTCTCAAATGAGAATAGAACTTACCAAAAGGTCATAGAAATAGATGGTTGTTCAACTGCAGGAGACGGAGGGAGGAGAATATCACCTTTGCTAGGGTTAACTTTCTCAGAATCAGATATTGGTCCAAGCTACAGTTTCACGTCCCCCACCGGCTGCCAGAGGGCGGTGTGAGCGGTAAGGGCGATGCTGGAGATAGCTGGTGGTTTCTCATGCAGTTCTGTTTACCTCGGAGAATGGCTCAGATTCATGGGGTGGCTCATCTGTTTGTTTCCCAGGAGTGTCCTCCTCATCAGGGACAAATGACTTGTTGTTCCCCCTGTCCCGTCTGCCTCCTTGGTGACGGATAGACGAGAACTGTTCCCTGTGCTTTGGGACTCTAATGTGATCTGGGTCGCGCTGGTGGCAGGAGGGGAGGGGAGGCTGGGGGAGGCATGGAGGGGGAACAGGGGGAAGCGAACACTGAGGGAACTACAGTCTTTCTTGGAAAAGAAAGTGTGTTTGTGTTCTAGGGCCAGCGCCCTTCTCTCTCAGCTGTTATAATATTGATCTAGCCATGATTCAGGAGCTGATGTTAACATCACCCTCGTCAGTGGGAAAGTGAGCCAGGGAAATGGAGAACTCGGCATTTCTTCTGATGAAGCAGTGCAAGGAAACTAAATATTACAAGGAGGGCAGGGAAGGAGCTCCACTGCTTTGAGTCCCACGGCAGATACAGGAGCCTTGAGATGAATCGTAATACCTATGGCTTTTATGGCCCCACTGTAGCCAAGCAGCTCGAAGCTTGATTGTACCGCTCATTAAAATCGCTGTCAGGGGAGGTGATCTCCAGATACATATTAAGCAGGAGGAAATTGAGGCAAGAAGATTAGCAACCTACCCAGTTTCCCATACTAATACCCTTGGCTGAGCTGGGAACTCACAACACCCCACTTATCCCATGACCCCTGGGTTGCATGGACACTACCACACGGGCACTTTCAGGACACTCAGAGCTAGTGGCTTTCAGTCCTTGAACATTCCCATGGTTTGTTTGTCACCATGCCTTGAGTTTCCACTACTAGCCAGACAAGTGTTCGAACAACATATGCTATTTCTACAAGAACCTCTTTCAAAGAGCCTATTAATGGCTTGAGAGTCTACTATGTATGGTCTAAGCACTTCATATGCAATATTCCTAACCCTTAAAATAGCCCTGCTAGGTAAGAGTTAATAACTTAATTTTCTAGAAAAAGAAACTAAGGACTATAAATTTCAAGGAGAGTGCCTCAGGAGGAAGACTCCGAGAGTTAAAGTAACTTTTTTTCTAGTTCTCAGAGGTAAGAAGTGCTAAAGCCCCAAATTGAGGGACATGACATTTTCTAAACTGCACTCTTTCTATGGAGTCACTCTCCTTTCTTTAACTTTTTCCAGAAAAATTTTAAGCCAGGGCAGCATTATTTGGTAAATTTGTCAGAGATTATTGGACTAGTAAACCGCCTTGCAAACTGGGGAGGAAACAAGACAGAAAGAGGCAGGTGGTGGGTTTAGGGGGCTAAGGTGGCTTTTGTAGGTTAACTCTGCTTCATTTATAATCCTGCCTGGCCTCTGTGAGGTTTACTTCTAGGAGAGAATTCCAGTGTCTAAGCTGAAGTTCAGCTTTGTAGGCAGCCGGCTATTCAAGAGAAAAGGTCCTGAATGTCACATTTCCCTGACCAGAGCCTTGGCCTTCCTGTGCAGACATGATCACAACAAACCATCTTGCAAGGCTTGCAATGGGATGATGTTTTGCTGTCGCTCCACGGCCACCTAGACCATGAGCTCATGGTGGTCTAGAGGAAATGGAAAACTTGGTGTTGAAGAAAGAAGTAGTGAGAATTTATTCATTAAATTCTTTATTCATTAGTACATATTAAGAGTCTATTATGTGCAAGGCATGGTGGGAACTATAAGGATTTGGAAAACTCTTGTGGAGCTTGCAATGTAGTTGAGGAAATAGAAAGGTAAAGAACAAATGGTGTCAGAAATTATGGCACACCTAAGAGAAGAATTCAATGAGTTCTACCAGACAGATTCCAAAGTTACATGGTGGAGTAGCTGGTTAAGTGAATATGGGAAACGTTTAATGGGGAAGATAATACATACCACCTTGGCTTTGAAGGGTAAGTAGGCAGAGGACAGGGATCGCTGGGAGGGGGATATTCTGACAGAAGGATCAGTACGAGGAAGGTCAACCAGAGGTGACTTCATTTAGAGGGATGACAAAAAAATACACGAGAAGCCAAGAATACGTGGACAGACATAGTGGAAGATGAGATAAAATAATTTATGGGGAGCCTTCAACTTTGTTTAGAGAAAGGAATCAGGGAAGATTTTAGAGGAGGCAAGCGACGTGATCAGACTTGTGTTTCAGAACCGCCCTATGGATGCGACGGAAAGCAAATTGCTCTGTGAAAGCAGGCAGCCTAAGTGATTTCTTGACTATTTTCTTTGATCCCAGGGTAAGAGTCCTTTGCAACATTTACTTTGCAGAGGCCATAAAACCACATCAAAACGAATCATGCCCTATCATCCTCTAAGTTTCTGGTTCCAGTGGGCCTGATGCAATGCTCAGGTTTACTGAAATTTCAGGTAATCAGAGCAGGAGGGAAATCATTTTAGCAAACACAGGCCATTTGTGTAGAACACCAGATCAACTCACAATCAAAGTCTGTGTCAAGGAGAGGAGAGGCATCAGGTCGTGCAGAGCCCTCCTAGTTCCAGCGCACTGTGTTGAGCTGAGCAGGGGTCCATTTTGTCTCAGCCAGGATGGTTATGACTTGAGACACCTTCGGTAGGGAATCTTGGAACCTCAGCCCCAGGAGCACTTCTCCTGGCTTAGGTAGTTTGTGTTTTTGTTCCATCAGGCATAATGCTGCCGGGGCACTTAGAGGCACATTTTCCGCACAGTGTGCAGGGACTTAGTGGTACAACTCCCATTCGCGTTAATGGAAATCCTGCCAGGAAATCTCCATGCTGGGCCATGCTGAAAATTCACCCCTGATTGTTCTGTTTGATTTGTTTCACCTGTGTCTTCCTTCGTTCCGCTCTGAGGATGTTTGTGGGCTCATTAGTGCTGGTCTGAACCCAGGGCTGAGTCTTAATCCCAGGCAGAAGCAACGAGACTCAGAGGAGTCCTGGATGCTGAAGGAAATGGGGGGCGGGGCAGGTCAGATGGGAAGCTGTCTTGGTTCTAAGAAAGCCAAGGGTCCCCTGGATGTTGTCCTCAGGATGGAAATACGCTCATATTTAGAGTTCAGCTGTGTTGTGTTCAGTTTAGGAGTGAGAGAAAGACAGTCCCCAGTCTGATTGGGGAGATCTGGAGCCACCCAGCTGGGAACTTGGGGTGCAATGGGGCCAGGCCTGAGAAGAAGCAGGCTAGTTAAGTTACACCCACGGGGAACACCCAGTGAGAGGAAATGAACTCTCCCACTCCCACCTGTAGCTTTGTGCCCTCGTCACAGCATGAACCATATCTGGACATTTGAAGGTCACAAAGATTATTGGTGAAGGTCCCGGACAGTTTTGCTGTACCTTCTAATTTAAGTTTCCATCGGAGTGGCTTGGTTTGCTCTTGCCCATTTAGGTACCGTGACATGCTGAATACTGGATTTTTCTCTTCATGATGTTGGAACATGTTTGGCAGGTCTGACACCAGCACTCAGATGACAAGTTGTTTCTGTCCATGGCCACTGTCGCTTGTCAGGTCCCACATTCATGCTCATCTGAGCACCACTTGTCTTGATGCCCTTTCATGTCCTCCAGTGTGTTGACAAATAAATGAGACCAAAAGAGGGAAACTCTGGGTCTTCCCTTAAGATCTCAATGCCATCCACTGACTCAAGTGTTTGGATACTCAACTTTAAATTTGGGGTAGACTTGCCTTACCACCTCTTCATCCCCTAAGAATGTTAAGAGTATCTGCTCTGCAGTCAGACTGTCAGAGTTGCCAGGCACTATGTCCCAAGAGCAATTTATTCAACCTCTCTGAGTCAGTTCTGTAAAACGTAGATGAAAATAGTGCTATGAAATGGGCTCTGGGATGAAACTCAATTGAGATCACCATGCAAAGAATTTAGTTCTGTGTTTTCCTCACAATATGAGCTCAAAAGTTGATAGCTATTATTAATTATCACTACTTTTGCAACTCCCAATGATGCACCAAGTTTTATACCTAGAGGCAATGCATGCTATTTTCCATACTGTGCATTATCTGCTTCTTTAGGTAATGTGTTCTTTAACAGATAATCTTGAAAATTTATCTCCAAAAATAATAACAATGAGCCACGGTATGTATACAGCATTCTGTGACTTACTCCAATATCCATGGGAGGAAGGCAGCAATGAGATGCTATCCTTATTTCACAGGTTGGGAAACTGAGTCTCAGAATGGTAAATGGCTTCCTAGGAGTACATAGCTGCTATGTGATGTGACTGATCCTTAATCTCGATATTTATCTGTCCAAATAGTGCCTTTTATATTCGTAAGGGAAATACAAAATGGAAAGAACAAAATAATAGAGTTTTCAGAGCAAAGAAATAGAAAAAGTAATCTGCTGTAGTACATTATCAGAAGAAGCCAAATAATATCCTTTTGTTGACCTCACAAAGCCAATGATCTTGGACCTATAGGAATTTAATTAGAAATGATTTGGAAAAATACACTCCTCATTCTGCAATAGGATTTATTCCTCACGAGTAGTTTTGCTTTTAAATTCTGCCCCAAAAATATAAGCTTCAGTATCATACCAGGGTCTTCCCAAGGTGCAGCCTCTCATCGGCATCATCATCATTATCATCATGAATTATTAATGAAAGAACAAGTTGTATGTAGGGGCACACTAAAAAACTGTCTAGATGTTCTAGACCCTGAACATCTCTTGGGACTAATTTTTGCCCCTGCAAGTTAATGATCTAATACGATTCCACAAAAATACATAAATATACAAACAAGATCCCATTAAGTCCAGTGGATCATCACTAAGAGAGGTATGCCCAAATGAGAACCTCTGCAACTCTGTTAGGTATCTTATTTTTCAGGCCAAATTTGACTTTCTGAATTGGGAGGAACAGCAGCAAATACTGTAGAGACGACTTTTTCAGCATCTTGTGGGCTAGTCTGGATTCTTCCCTTGCCTTGTACTTCAAGTAACTGTCTTAGAGCTATCACTTAGGAATCACTTGGTAGGTGATAGGTAAGTGAAACTGGATAAACTAGATTAGATTAAAGCATAGGTACACAATCATTTGGTACTATAGTGGTGGAAGAAAGTTTTCTAAAATATCCCAAATGGCTTTATTGGCAGAGGTAGCTGTATTAAACAAAGGATCTTGACTATTTTGTAACTCCAAGTGAGCCTTTATGAAAAT